TAGCTGTTCTATGTGAAGACTTTGTTATGAATATCTTCATATCTGACAGCAGATTTATGTAAGCTTAGTAGGCTAGATGGTGGAAAGATTTTTACTAATGAGTACACGGTTAATTTGTATCTAGAAATGTGGAAAATTATATTGTTGGAACCGGGAGATCTGAGAATGGGTTTTTTCCCTGCCTGCACAATCAACCCCAAACAATACTTTGAAAACTTGACCCTTAAATTTCTGGTTTCTAGAAGAAAACTTTTTTCTTTGTAGAAACTGGAAAGCTGTAAGGCAGTGTCACACTTGTCTGCAATTACAGTCCCTGCCAATGCACAAGTGGTAAAGGCAGAAGGTGGCGGGAGCACCCGAGGGCGTAGGCAGCGTGCGCTTGCACAGCAGGAGGGATTGCTCGTGCAAACAACTGAGTTGGCGTTTTTGTGCCTGTGTCCCAGGGCACCAGCTCTTACCCGGAGCCAGTGATGCGCTCGATACAAGAGCCTTTAGCGCTGCATTCGGGATGTGCTGCACAGTGAGAAGCCACCCTGTAATTTATGAACTGTTGAGAGAAAGGCAGAGATGCTAGCCAGAAGTAGCTCATATTAAACTTGTTAATAAAATAATGGCTCTAACCCAGTGAGCTGGAAACTGATGAAAAAAGAAGATGAAATTGCACACGTTTTCTTATGTGTTTGTATGATTTTGGGATTGTGTGTACACAGCAGATACCTGTTAATTATTAACACTACCATTTATCTCTGTTTATTGGTGTTTTTGCTTAGGGTAAGTGCTATATGAGCTGGTAGATGCATGTCCTTTCTCAGAGGTTATCCTCTATCCTGATCAGAGATAGCTCTGAAGTAGTTGTTGGCCACTTGTTACTCTCTTTCTCACTGATGCCAAAAAGATAAAACTTTGCAAGTGTTAAAGGTCAGCCTTTCAGGAGGCTGACCAGCTCCTTCCCACCAGGAGTAGCATCCATCGTCTTGTCTGGGGGAGTCGAGGATGCTCTGCAACAGGGCAGGGCTGACTGTTGTACAGGGGCCCCCCAGAGAGCCCTCCCAGCCCAAACTCCTCCGTGACACAACACGTCCGACGGGCCGGTTCTTCCCGTTCCCCCTCCTTGCCCAGCCTGGGATGGGGTGAAAGCTCAGGAGCGAGTTGAGGGATTTCTCCCCCGCACCGTGTTACAGCACCTGGGCAGTGCAGTTCAGCTTACCTCGGGCCAACTGCAGAGTCACCACCGTGTTTGGAGGTTTTTTTCTGTTTTCCTTTTTCTTTTTCTTTTTTTTTTGTTTTCTTTTTTCTTTTTCGTTTTTTTTTTTCCCTGCTGAAGGTGAGCAGAAAAACATCATTAGAGCAGCTCTATAGCTGGTAGATGCATTTGGTTTCCCTTTATTTGCCTGAAGATGGCAGACCTTTCTAGAATTTTGTTAGCTTTCTTTTTGAGCGTCAAATTTTAGGAAAGACCAAAGAAAATAGCTCTAGCTTTCTGGTTATATGACCAGGATTTGTTTAGAAAAATGCTGAAGGTGCGACTCTTACCGACGCTTTCTCCTGAACCCTGGCGCTGCCTCTTCCAGGCTGGTCTCCGGAGGTGGTGGAGCTCTGCAAGAAGTATCGAAACAACTCTGTGGTGGCCATCGACCTGGCTGGGGATGAGTCCCTGAAGGTGGAGAATTCCTCCGAGCATAAGAAGGCTTATGAGGTTTGTTAATAAGCTTCTCAAAATAAATTATGAGAAAAACATATATGGAGGGGACGTGTGTGAGGGGACACGCAGTCTGTTATTCAGACTGCAATCAGCTGGGACAGCTTAAAAATTCGTTGCAGCTATTAAAAACTTTCTGTTAAATAGCAAAAGTATTTGTTTATATTTCCTAAATGATTAATGGCAGGCATCATTGCTTAAACATGGCCTTAGAGCTGGAGCTCGGCACGCTACCCCATAGCACCGAGTTCAACGTGAGTGATGTGGAGCCCGTGTCCACCCCGCAGCATCCCGCTGCTGTTGGCTGGGGTCTGCCCCTGGGACTCGGCAAAACCATGGCCGAGGGTGGAAGAGACTGGCCTTTCCAGTCTGGCAGAAATCACTTGAGGAGCAGAGAAGCAGCTGCACGTTTGAAGTGCTTTTATCTGATCATCTCAACTGCAAATGCTGGAATGGCTTCAGGAGCCTGATCCGAGACTCTCGCTAGACCTCAGCGCTTTGCAGCGGCTGGAAGGGGAAGCTTCACGCCTCACTCCTCTTTGCTGGTGGGAGTTTGGGGTTGTTGGTTCCCTGCATCAGTGGGAGAAGAGGTTGTGCACCATCGCTGCTAAAAAGGACGGTGGTTTGCAAGCGGTGCTCAGGGCTGAAACGACACAGGGCTTTCTCGGGGTCTTTGCCCCCATCAGCGGGAGCCGATACAAGGTCTGCCGGTGCTGCTGTGCCACGCTGGATGAACCGAGTGGTTTTAAACTGAGACGCAGGCACAGGGTTTTATTAAATGACGGGCAGGTGTGCCTCATCCCGCCCTGGTGTGCCAGCAGTACCCGGGTCCAGACCGCTCCATCTGAAGGATGCGTCTTGTCGCTGTGCCGGGGGCTCGCTCAGGCTCTGAGGTGCTGAAGCAAACCCCGCTCCCGTCCGTCGGCCCCTCTTGGCCTGCGTGGCAGGGAAGTACATCCCCATAAACACTGCTGCTACGCTCCGTGGGGTACGTAATGCATCCAGGGAAATTGGAGAGCCTTGTGATGTCCCTTGGGCAGGCACGTTCTGCCTGGGAGCTCTCGGGGCTGCTGGAGGGGAAAGAGCAGATAACGGCGAAAACTCGACTGTGGCTGCTGGCTGCGGAGGAGCACCAGGAATTGTAGAGCCAAGGATCCTAGGACCAAGGAAGCAAGGATCCCTGGAGGAGAAGCCAAGGGAAACATTATGTGTCCTCGGGCAAATGGGTTAAAAAAGGGATTAAAGCACTCGAGGGAAGATATGCCCATGGGTGGACGTCAGACACGAGCTCCCTCCTGGATGGAGGGGCTCAGGCTTTGGCAGCCAGGAGGGTTAGTGGGGAAGGGTCCCGGTGCGTGTGCTCTTCCTGACCCCTCTGCTTGTATCCCTGGCTCCTGTTGGAATAGTTCTGGATGCCTTCTTGGGAGTGGGGGGGTGAGAGTTTCTGGTTTCTCTTCATCCTGTGTAGAAACAAGTGGAAAATCTCTGTGCTGGTGTGAGTCTGTCTCTCTTCTTGGTCTGGTACTTCAGCCAGAGGGATTTTGTTATTTTTAAAAAGTGTCAAAAATTAGCTGTTTGGGCAAAATCAACACTCACTTAAATGTAGGGAGCACAGAGTGTATTTCAGGTTGATACACGCAGGGCTTTTCTGTAGACGTCCCAGGCAGAGCCTGGCCTGACCTTCGCTAGGTCTGGGTGTGCAGTGCATGAGGAGCTGAAAATTAAGTAACTGAAAAAAAATCATGAGTGAAAAGCCCTGAAGGAGTGCCTGG